TCACAACCCCACGGAAACAGCTCCTCCACTCATAATTAATTGTCTGGCTCCATCCCCATGTGATTCTGGGGTATTTGTCAAGGAGTAAAACTCAATTAATTTCCTGTGTTTGAGACATACTTTTTTTGAGTTTCAATAAATTTAAGTTGAAAATTCATAGATTAATAAGATTTGGCAGTGTTTGGTGCTTAGATTCCAGGACAGCTTTGCCTGGTGCCACGTGAGGTCTCTGCTCTGCCACCCTATTGATGCCGGGCTGGATCCGCACTGGAGTTGTCCCCAGTCCCAACACCAGCCCCGTCCAACCCGGCCTTGGACACTTCCAGGGATCCAGGGGCAGCCACAGCTTCTCTGGGCAACCTGTGCCAGGGCCTCCCCACCCTCACAACCAAGAATTCCTTCCCCATATCCCATCTAACCCTGCCCTCTGGCAGTGGGAAGCCATTCCCGTGTCCTGTCCCTCCAGGCCCTGAGACAATACCAGAATTGCTGGGCTGCCCCACAGCTGCTCACGGACAGAGCTGGTGCCTCTTCTTGGAGCCAGAGGAATGGGAATGCCCAGTAGTGGCCAAGGCTCCCAAGGCACCACAGCTTGGCACAGGGAGCCAGTGGGTACCTGGACTCATACCATGTCCTGATTGGGAATGAATCCACAAGGATTCAAAGCTGGCCCCGCACAGGACAAGCCCAAAATCCCGCCGTGTCCCTCTAGGCCACTCAGATAACCTGGGAGATGATTTATAAACGGGAAAAGAGGATCAATTTGAACCCGTCTTCCTGTGATTAATTCCACCAGCTGCTCTCGCAGGGAATCACTGCGCCTTTCGCCGGGATTAATTGCACAAAATTCCCATTTCCAGGCACGCGCCTCCGAGCAGGACCGGGAGTGGGTTTGGAGCTGGCCGAGCACCCCCGGCCGGGAGGGCCCGGCAGCACTGCCGGTGGCTGCAGCGGGGCAGGAGCGCTCCATCCCGGCCCCCGGCCCTGCTCCCGCCGCGATTCCAGCCCCCGACCCCGCGAGCTGGGAGGAGAAGGCGCCGGCGCTTCCCAGGGCGAGGGGCAGGAGCGGCGCTAGGAACGCTCGGCAAGGTGGGAATTGTCTGCCAGTGTATTACATGAGAAAGCCCTGAATAATTCATGGAGATTTATTATTCCATGAGTAATCCCGGCCCGAGCCAAAAGCAGGCGGCTGAAGCCCCGAGGAATGTTTTCCTCCAAACTGCTACACATGTCAGTCTGGGAGCCCAGGGATGAATATTTTAAGGACGACAACCTCTTTTTCCCATTTTTCCGGACTGTGCCACCGGAGGTTCCATCCAGGACTAGCCCAGACTCCTCACCTACACTTTGGGAAGCAGGAAAACAGTGACACTTGCTCCCAGCTGGAGAAAAGTGTACCAATGTGTTCAAAATTCCTCAGGAAATGGGATTTCCCCTCCTCTTCCTATTTTTGGATTCTCTGATCTGGTTTTCCAAATTGCCTCTCAGATGTTTTGTATTTTCTGAGCTGATCCATATCATTCACCCCAGATTATTGATCTCAGGATGAGGAGAATTCAGTGTGTCAGCACTGGCTGTGGGAACGCTTCTCTCCATCCCTGGATTTGCAAACCCAGTGCTATATTTTTGGGAGAGTCTGGGCTTTTGGGAAGAGCAAATGAGACCGAGATCATGTGGAATCAATTGTGGAGTCTCAAATAAAGCTGTAAATTGGGGTTTCAAATCATTTTGCAATAAGGCAAAGTAGTTTGTTCTTGGGGGGATACAATGTTGGGATTGGTAATTGCAAATTTCCTTAATGATTAATAAACAGGATGAAAGTAATTAATATTTCAGCGTGATATGTATCCCATTCTGACATAATAAGTGGAAATATGTTTGTTACCATAATAGAAACATAATGAAAACATCAGAAAATAATCAATTTCTTTTAAATTTATAATGAAAACTCTAAATGCACTTTTTGGTTCCAAAACCCTTTTCTGTGTAATTTCTCCTGGGCCAAGTGGGATTTTTTTCTTTTGACAAAATTGGGGGTTTCCAGCAGTGTTTTCCCATGAGGAAATGTTTCAGTGAACACATTCCCATGGTGATCTGGGATTGGGTAATGAGGTGTCAGGGAGTGCCCTGCACTGAAAATCATGGAATTAGGGAATTATTTGGTTGGAGGAGACTTTAAAGAACAACCAGTCCCACCCCTGCCACAGGTAGGGACACCTCCCACTAGCCCAGGTTGTTCCAACCTGGCCTTGGACACTTCCAGGGATCCAGGGGCAGCCACAGCTTCTCTGGGCAACCTGTGCCGGGGCCTCCCCACCCTCCCAGCCAGGAATTCCTTCCCAGTATCCCATCTAACCCTCTCTCTGGCAGTGGGAAGCTGTTCCCTGTGTCCTGTCCCTCCAGGCCCTTCTCCAGCTCTCTGGAGCTGTAACAGGAGGTGGTGGATCCCCGCCCCTGGAGGTGTCCAAGGAATGACTGGACATGGCACTCACCGCGCGGGGCTGGGATCAGTCACGGATCCTGGAGGGCTTTTCCAGCCTCACTGATCCTGGGATTCTGTCATTCCGTGACGAAGAGGTTCCTCTAATTGCTTGGAATGAGTTCTGGTCAAAGCCACATGTGGGCAACGTCTGTGTGGGAGGAGGAGGCTGAGCCCCCTCTCAGCTCTCTGGTAATTCCCCGGGAGGGGGGAAGAGAGGCCCTTGCAGGCACACCCGGAGCCACTTTTCATTATTTTGTGTCACTCGTTCCTCATTTGTTGCTCTGCATATTGTGCCATTATAACAGGAAATTACATTTGCATCTTGTGTGGCACAAGCATGTTGTGAATATCATAAAAACACATATGGTCATAAAGGGTTGGGAAAAAAAGGCGATAAAACTGACATTTAGGAAACAGCTTTGGAAAAGAGAAAACATGTTCGGGGAGCTTTTGTGCAGCTCTTCCCTGTGAAAAATTCTGGGCTCTCACTTTAGAAGCTTTTTCGGCAAACTTCTTAATTTTTTGACAAACTTCCTAATTTTTTTCGGTGCAAACTTCTTAATTCTTTTTTAAACACTTCCCAGCCCTTTTATAAATGTCTTCTTTCTTTTTTTTTTTTTGCAAACTTCCTACTTTTTTTTAACAAGCTTCTTGATTTTTTTTGTACCAACTTCTTAATTTATGTATTAACCTATTAGTTTCAACCTTTAGAAACTTTCCTTTGTGTTTTGAGCTTGAACATCCTAAAATCTCGTGGAAGAAGCTCCCGAGCCCACCCAGCCTTCCTGTTTTCCACGTGCTTTCCTGTTGTGTGACTGATTTTGGTGGAAGCACATAAATTTGATGGCAGTTCTAAGTGCAGCTCTTGAGTTTTGAATAATTTTGGATAATGGATTAAGCAATAATATTTCGGGGAGCTTAGAAATGGGGTTTCAGCCACTTGGACATCGGGATGTTTAGGGTGGAGGCTGGGTTTGATGTGACTATCCCTGAATTCCACTGGATCTTGGCTGTGGAGTTGGAGGAGGACGACTTGACATCCCCATCCCTTTATACTGGAATTCTGGACTAGCAGAAGTCCGTGTGCATCATAAAATATTAACGTTAAATAAGCAGAAATAAATAACCAGGGCAAGATTTTCATTACAGGTCAGAGATCCTGGATGAAAAGCAGCGAGCAGATAAAAGTTCTCAATAAAACTGTCCCCTCCAAATACATTCCCTCTGTTTTTATCTCTCCCATTCCACTCCCTGACTCAAGTCAGGGTTAACAGCTCGCTGTCAGGGTCGTGTGTGCCCACGTGGATCATTGTGGAGCTGCCAGGGAATGGTTCTGCACATCCAGGTACATCAGCATCCTCTCGGCACTGCCCTTGGTCCAAGGGAATGTCTGGGGCAACATTCCCACCAGTCACTGCCATGTGCTCCCAGCAGGGAAGTCATTCCAATTTTCCAGGGCAGTAAACTGCAAGCCTTTTATCTGGAGCCTCTAACACGGTCTGTGACAACCAGATCCGACGTGAGCATGCTATGCCATAAATCCTCCGAAATGTTCCTTTACACAGAAATTACAGGGCTGATTCATGATCCAAAGGCGGATTTTCAGCTCTTGCCAAGTCGCCATCGCTCCCTTCTGCTTGGAATGATCAGGAGAAGTGTCTACCAAGCAAAGGAGCTCTGCATCACAGGAGGAGGAGGAGGAAGTCTTACTAGCTGCACCAAATCTCCTGGTTTTCCAGAGGATTTCACTCCCATGCAGCTGTGGACTGTCTGGCTGTGTGAGGACATCCAAAGAAGCCTGGATTTACATCCTGCTCAATGCAAAGGGGTTTCCATAGGGGTTGTGCAATTTGGGAGTGGGCACCTGTCCATCCCGTGTCACCTCCCTGCAGGCCCCTCCCTGTCCCCACTGTGTTTCCATGCAGGAATTCTCGCTGTGCTCCCGGGTTTGGCTCATGAGGGCACATGGTGTTATCCAGCCTGGAGAGGAGAAGGCTCCAGGGAGACCTAAGAGCCCCTTCCAGCCTAAAGGGGCTCCAGGAGAGCTGGAGAGGTACCCGGGACAAGGGACGGAGGGGCAGGACACAGGGAATGGCTTCCCACAGTCATCCAGCTCCATTTGGGGCAGCCATTCCCAGCCGGTGGACTTTACCCAGCTCTGCCGTGTTCAGCCGCTGGCCACGGGAAGAGCAGCGGCCGCCGCAGGCGGGGAAGAGCCGGCAGGGCCGAGCCGGCAGGGCCGAGCCGGCAGGGCCGCGGCCCTCTCCGCCCTCACACCTCCACAGGGCCTCAGGAGGAGGGCGGGGCTCCCGCGCCTTCCCGCCATTGGCGCCGGAGCCACTTCCGGTTCACGGCCGGTCCCTCAGGGCCCGTCCCTCACGGCCCGGCCCGTCACGGCCCGTCCCTCACACTCCCTCCCTCACGTACTGTCCCTCACAGCCCGTCCCTCACAGCCCGTCCCTCACGGCCGGTCCCTCAGGGCCCGTCCCTCAGGGCCCGTCCCTCACAGCTGGTCCCTCACAGCCCGTCCCTCACGGCCCGTCCCTCACGGCCGGTCCCTCACGGCCCGTCCCTCACAGCCGGTCCCTCACAGCCCGTCCCTCACGGCCCGCTTCATTTCTGGCTCGAGGTGAATCCCGTCCCGTTACCCCCACTTCTGCCTTCCCTGTCCACCGGAACGCCGGGATGCGGGATGCTGTTCCCCCCGCACTTCCCTGGCCCCCCGCCGAGCATCTGGGCTGGCGCGGCGCTGTTGGCGGAGCCGGGGAGAGGCACGGAAAAGAGGGGGAGCTTCGGGAATGCGGAGCCAGGCGCTGCCTCACAAAGTTGTGACTTGCAGAAGCGCAAGGTAATAGAAGGGAGAATTCCCCCTCCCTCTCCTGCCAGCTGCCGGTTTGTCGGCTGCTCCCATCCCGGTGTAATTCTTCCCCCTAGTTTTCAGTCATGGAATAGGTGCCGTTAAAGCAGGAGCTGCTGCAGAGCCTCGGAGGCAGCCCCTGGCCCCGGCTGGGCTGGTTTTGGGGTGCAGACGAGCTGGCAGAGGAGCCGGGGGAGCGGAGGGAAGCTGGAGGAGGCGGCGGGGCTGCCCGGCGTGCCCAGATATCCTCGGCAGTACGTGCCCCCATCCACTGCTCCGTGACTCATTCCTTCGCTGCTGAATGCAGGCAATTGTCACATCTCCACGGAGCCAGTAAAATCAGGGAACACGCACCGAGCGGCTCCTCTCCGTGCGGTACAAGTCCTCCATCCCGCGGCCCTTCCCCAGGGCCTCGTCGGCTGAGGCAGCGGGAGGAAGAGGAGGAGTTCACAGCTCCGGGGAACAGCTCAGGGGTCATTTCGCCCCTCAGGAGACAGAAAGGGCTTGCAAAGTGGGAATGGGGTGTGGGACACAACTGAACCCCTTCCAGCCTCCCACAGCAAGAGCAGCGTCAGGATTTACACCCCAGAGCGGTGCTACACAGAGCCACTGGGATCCAGCACAGTCGGCTGGGCCTCCCCCTGCCAGCAGCCTCCACCACCGCCCCATTCCCACTGTTCGCTCCGATTCCTGCTTCCACGCTCTGTTTTCACACGGATGGGAACGTTCCATCCCTCCTGACTTTACACAGGTGTCATATTTGTTGCCGAGCACCCGTAATTTTGGGAGGAGTGTTTGCACTGCAAATGGAAACCTGTCATTTCTCTGCGCCTCCCTTCCCCAGCTCATTCCATCAGCTCATTCCATCAGCCATTGCATCTGGAGGTTTCACATCTCTGTTAAGTCAGGACAATGCTGCTCAGATTAAAACTAAAACACGCATCAAAAATCCCATAACCACCTACAATTTCCCCCTTTCTCCCTAAAATCTCAGCAGGAGCCATCAAAAGGAGGTGAATGGTACAGAAAGTGGAATATTAAGCCTTTTCCCGTGCTGTGGCACCATGGACACAAGCAGGACAAACAGAGCCTTCCCTGCTGCACAGCCACATCCATTTTTAAAAATGGGCCTTCTGTGCTTTCTTTTTTCAGCTCCATCTCCCCAAACCAAGGGAAAGATGTTCTCAGTTAGTGGGATTAAAAAGCAAAGTGTGGCACAAGTATCCTGGCAGCCTCGGCAGCGCTTCCCTAGAACTGTCTGCCACGGGCACAGCTGAAATGAAGTTGGATTTAATGGCAGAACAACACCAGAAAATGGAGCTGGGGAAAAAAATACCAACCCAAACCCATCATTTTTGGAATGGATTGAATGAGAAGGGTCCCCACGGCCACATGGAGAGGCAGATGCAGATGAGGATGGAAGCTCTGCCTTCCAATGCTGGGAGAGGCAGGATGACCACGGGCAGGAGGAGGATGGAGATATCCCACTCCAAAGCTGTCGCTTGGCTGTTTGCACGCTCGGTAAGTTCCTCATAAGCAAAAGTCTCTCGATTGCTGTTCCAGCACTGGAAATTGGAATCAGGGAAAGAGAAATGGGATGAAAATGAGATGAGGGCAAAAAAAGAGAAATGATGCTTTGGAAGCCTGTTCAAGTCTATAATGTCCTGTGATGTTTGTACTGAGAGAATAAATCCATGCTCTGTTCCAGGCTTGGGATAGCGGGGAGGGAAATATCCCCCTTTCTCTGGGCATGGAATCATTAAGGTTGGAAAAGACCTGCAAGATTTCTCCCTGGCAAGGGCTGCCAGGCACTAGAAGGGGCTGCCCAGGGAGGTGGTGGAGTCCCCACCCCTGGAGGTGTCCAAGGAAGGATGTGGCACTCAGTGCTCTGGGCTGGGGGACAAGGTGGCACTGGGCACAGGGTGGACTCCATGGGCTGGGAGGGCTTTTCCAACCTGAATTATTCTGGGATTCTGGGATCCCCGTGTCCAACCCTCAAGCGAGGAACGAGAGCCATGCTCAGGCAGTTTGTGTGATCCTCGTGGAAGCCTTGAGCGCTTCCACTGCAGGCCCATGGATTCCTGTTGTGCTCTTTGTTTTGCTCTTCTCCAGAGCAATGTTGTTTTTATCCGATGTCTCAGGAACTTCTCCTGGCCATCTGTGCCGCCCCGCTCTCCCAGTTATCCGCCAGAGCCCTTTGGGTTGTTTTAGGCATGGCAGGAATCTCCTGCAGCAGCCACACGCTGACACCAACTTGGCTTTCTGTTCCCCGGGAAAAGACGGTGGGAGCAGCGCTCCCTGGGCCGGCCGGGGCTCGGGGAGGGGACGGAAGCGGAGGGAGCGGGGGCTCCATCCCAGCCCTGTGCTAACAATGCTCTTTCAGAAGCTCATAATGAACCCTTTGAGAACACGGAGTTATTTGGAAAAGTCCCGAACTGTGAGAAATATGCGCATGTTGCGGCTGAGTCACCAGTTGGCACGGGCCGCCCCGGCACACAGTTCTGGTTTTTAAGTGTACTTTTCTTCCTCGGATCCAGAGACAAGGGGCCATTATCAACTTTAATTTAATCTACGCCCCAGAATAGCTGCACCCGGCCCAGTCCTGCTGGAAAACTCTTCCAGGAGGATATCGGTCTTGATTTTGAGACTCAAAGCTTCCAGTGCCTGCATTCTCATCCCTCTTGGAAATTTGTCCCCAAACCTGCTTATCTCGAGCTTGAAATTATTTGGCTGCAACTTCCCCCCCAGATCTCAGTGCCTTCCTGCCTGCAGGATTAAGGGATCCATTCCAATCTCTCCTTTGGCAGGTGTGTGAAAGCCTCTGGTGTCTCACACCTTTTCCTGTTCTTTTTGTTAAATTAGCAGGTTTTTCCTATGGAATTTAGGGACTTGTGTACCTCAGAGCTGCTCTGGGCTTGTCCACTGTAGGAGACACTAACTAGTCCTTGAACATTTCCTTGGATACACAGTGTCCCCACTCAGGATCTGTCCAACCAGGATGTGTCCATCTGGACCAGATAGGAGGGGAAAAGGCTCTGCTCAGAGCACCTTCAGGCACTGGGTGATCCAGGGATCCTGCACCCCATGTTTTCTGGGTGGCCTGAGGCATCTCCCACCCCTAATCCACAGCTCCCTCCATCCTGTGTTATCCCACAGTGGCACAAGCAAGGACACGATCCCAAACTGAACTGAAAAGTTCCTTTTTACATTTTCCTTTCCTGTGTGGAAATCTGGGAGCCACCAGCGTGGCAAACATGCCTCTGCCCTCTCGCTCAGCCTTGGAGGCTGGACCCGGAGCAGCAAATCCCACACTTCCCACAAGTGCCCAAACTTTGGCTGTGGAGGAGCCCCGGGCCGGGCGTGGGGAGCGCGTGACCTACCAGTGCATTGTTGTGGAAGTGCTGATGGGATCAGGCACAGATGGGCGACACAGAGCTGTCAGAACCAGCCTGGATTTGAAAATGTTATAATTGGGATGGTAAACAAGTTCACAAGGACCCTATTGAGGCAAGGGATTGCCATGGTAACAGACCAGAAAAGTCTGGGAATGAGGAAGGATCGATAAGTGGGGGCAGCGGAGGGAACGGTGCTCCTGCCGTGCCGGTCCCTTCCTGGTGCTGGGAGCAAGGGAATGTGGGCTCCAGCCTTGCGCCGCTCTCCAGAGGGACACCGTTATCCAAGCACTGAGCTTTCCTGGGCTGAACCCACTGGGGTTTCATCCCAGCTTGGGAGCAGCCTGCTCAGTGTATTGGAAGTCCTCTGCTCCTGGACCAGCCATTGGAATATCCCGTTTTTGCAGCAGGGTCCTTTTCCAGCAGCCACTTGGCTCCATTTTCCCAATCTGAGCAGGACTTGAGCTCCCTGGCTTGCATCCCTGGGATGCACCAGAGCAGGAGGAGTCTCACCCCACCCAATTCCTGGGAAGTGGTCACAGCTCCAACCCTACCAGGGCTCAGGGAGCTTTGGACAATGCTCTGAGGCACATGGGGGGATCTTGGGGTGTCCTGTGCAGGGTCAGGAATTGGAGTCACGATTCAGGTGTGTCCTTTCCAACTCAGGATATTCTGTGATCTTTCCACCAGGGAACAGCACGGAGAGCAATCCCCACCACGCTGCTCCAGCCTTTCCCACAGTTTTAGGGTGAGAAGTCGGAGGCAGAGAAGCAAGAAACTAAAAAGTTCTGTAACAAAACTACCCTTAGCAACTTATTTACTCCAAAACAGTATTTTTTTAAAGCCCTATTTTATTAATCAGTTATTTGTCTTTATTAGGACAACACTTCACATTCCAAGACGGGTGCAGCAATTTTCCTCACTGTAATAAACCAATAAAATTAGTTTATAGGCAAAAAGAAATGTTAAGGGCCTGGTGGCACTGCAACCCCCTGAACAAATCTTTTTTAAGTGGCATTTACCCTGCAACTCTTGTGCCCGGGTAAACGGGCACAAGAAAGAGTTTATCTTCAAATAATCAGGACTTGAACTTGGCATCAGTCTGTTGATTTGGGGTGGGCTGGGTCTGCCTTCCTTTCGTGGCTAAATGAGGGAAAAAATAGGATTTTGCTCCCTGGGGTTACTTTGGAGAACAAAGGTTTAGTTGGGAAACAAATCCTGCATTAGAAAACAGAATCCCAGAATCACTGAGGTAGGAGAAGGCCTCCAAGACCATTAGGCGCAGCCTGTGACCAATCCCCACCTGGAACTCTTTTCCATTATCTAACATTCCCAACTGAAAAAAGGTTTTTGGAAGTGTTTGGAGCCTTAAGGAAGTGCCCAGATGCTGCATTCATTTGGTGGCACCGAGGAAGGGAGGGCCTGGCTCCCGGGCTGCTCTGCCCGGGCTGGAACAGCCCCAGAGCTCATCAGCGCTCCCAGATTCCTCACCCTCTGGGATGAGATGTCTCCCGGGACTCACTCAGCTTATTGGGAAGAGGCCCTTGAAATACATCTGCATTCATGCTGGAAATCAGTGGATTTGAAGTTGGAAGGGCTGGACTTTCCAAGAGTGGAGAGTGAACACATGTTCAGCAAAGGACCCAGATTTTTCCATCCCTCTCCGAGCTGCACGGCAGCTCTATCCATCATTTTTCCAGTTGCTGCATTCCGTTCCAATCCCAACGAACTGCTGGGAAAGATCTTTGATAATAACTAGCCACCAAGACCTGGGAGACTTCATTTATTACGGCATAATACCCATGTTCCCCAGCTCGTGCTGGACCATATGGAGCGCTCTCTGCTGGGTTTGGCGGAGTTACTGGGGTGAAACAGGGATGGATTTTGTTCCTCATCCTCTTCAATTATGCCATAGATTGGATCATGCAGCAAACTCCAGCAGATCATCTGGGCATAGCAATCAGCCCCGAGGAGCACATCACTGAGCTCATCTGTGCCAATAAACACAGCGCTCGGCGCGGAGACTCCAGCGGGAGCTGATCCCGGGAGCAAATCAATAGGGCTTAGCACTCACCGAAAGCTAAAAATGGGAACACACACCTCAGTCTGTCACTTGCAGGCAGGAAAAGGCAGAGGGAAGAATTTTTTCCAAGGTCAGTTTCTTTGGATCTTACACTAACCATCACTAACCTGGGAAATTGGGAAGCCTGGTCCTGCCTGGTGCCCAGAATTCCTGTGGAGGTGGTTCTCTTCAAGCCCAGCATCACCCACTGCTCTGCAGTGACCGGGATGGAACCATAATGGTCCCAGCGCCCAGATGCTGTGACCACATTTCCTTGGAATCTGGAAAGGTTTGGGATGGAAGGGACCTTAAAGCTCATCCAGTGCCACCCCTGCCATGGGTAGGGACACCTTCCACTAGCCCAGGTTGCTCCAACCTGGCCTTGGATGCTTCCAGGGGTGGGGACTCCCCAACCTCTCTGGGCACCCTACACCCAAACTTCTGTGCCTGTGTTTAACTGTCCCCCAAAATCTCCCTGATAAATAGACCATAATTTAACAGAAGTCCCCTTTTTGGTGCATAAGGACTAATAGAACATGACATTTATTATTCAAAAGAGGTGGCAAACGAATCAAGACGTTGATTCAATGTGAACAGGCAGAATGTGATCCCTGCTCCTGCCTCTGCGAGCCATAAATAATAGAACGGTTCCCATTCCCATTCCATTATCGCTAATAATGAGTTATGGGTAAAGCCACCACGTCCCTCGCAAAAAGCAAGATATAGCTCTGCTTATGGTTGATTATTAGAGGCTAAAATAAAGAGATTGATGCCCAAAAAAAAGTCTAATTAGCATTAGTCTATTGGAGAGGAAGCTGAGCATGCTGCTCTAGCACTGCCAAATGAAATTAAGGCCCAATTATTGATAAATGAAGAGTGGTTTGTGCTGGAGCCTGGCCTGGAGTCGAGGAAATACATCTGTCATTTGGCCTGCACAGGAGTCATTCATGTGTGACACGGCATCCTGTGCATTTATCATGCATCTGTAGATTTTTGGTTTAATTCACTTAGCTGTCTAACGAGATTCGGGGCCGGTGCCTCGCGCCGCGGCAGGATTTGGGCTGACA